AGGACAAGAGGAGCCACATCCCATCCCCAGAGAGACCACGACCCTCCCCGCTGCTGACCAAGACCACAACCCCTTGGCCAACACCAGGCAGAGCTCAGCAGCTCTCACCTCTCCATGAACAGTGGCAGTTGCTCCTGAAATACCTCGTGAGTGGCTTGGACATCACTGGCACAGTAGGACATCAGGTCCTGGGGGCAAAGGCAGGTGAGAGCAGGTAAAGCAGCCACCCCTCTGCCAGCACAGGACAAGGCACCCAGGGCTGCGGGAGGATGGGGGACATCACAGCCCCAAAATGGAAACTCCCCCAGCAGCTGCTCCCACCCTGCTCCCACCTCCAGCTCCCGCTGCCTGTCGGGATGGTGGGATGGCCACCCGCACCTGGAAGTTACTCCTGATGTCAGCCATGGTCCCCTTCACAAAGAGCTCCCGCGCCTCCTTCTCCAGCGGCTAGCTGCGGCCGAGATCAGGAGAGGTAAAGGATGCTGCTGCTCCGTTTTAAACCAAGGCCACCTCATCTGGAAGGTGCTGGGAGAGCTTCACGCAGCAGAGCTGTTCCAACAGCTCCTACTCTACCAGTACAGGAGCAGATGGTCCCAGCACAGGAGCAAGAGGTCCCCTGCCACCCACGCCACTGCCAGCTGCTCAGCACCCCTGCGGCCGAGATCAGGAGAGGTAAAGGATGCTGCTGCTCCGTTTTAAACCAAGGCCACCTCATCTGGAAGGTGCTGGGAGAGCTTCACGCAGCAGAGCTGTTCCAACAGCTCCTACTCTACCAGTACAGGAGCAGATGGTCCCAGCACAGGAGCAAGAGGTCCCCTGCCACCCACGCCACTGCCAGCTGCTCAGCACCCATACTCACAGCCGGACCCTCTGTTTTGCTGCGTGTTTTCTGTATGTGCTCCTTGACCTGCTGCAGACCCTTCCTCTTGCCGTGCTTGGCAGCCATCCAAAGGCTGCGCTGGAAGCTCGTCAGCCCTGAGATGGCCATGTGCATGCTCATGCTGTCCAAAAAACGCACCCGGGAGCCCTGGGACATGCCAGCGGGGAGAAAAAGAGATGGTTTGGGACAAGCTGGAGGAGAAAAGTGCTGTCAAATGTCCTGCAGCTGCCAGCAAGCACCACCCTGTGTTGCAGAGCTGCAAGTCCTCTGCTCAGGCTGCTTTTCTCAAGGCAAAGCTTTGCCTCCCAGCACCCCTGTTTTGAAAGCCAAGAGCATCCCCAGCGCAGGCTGTCAGCCGCTCAAAGGCTTGTGCCACATCCCCAGCTACAACCCCACAGCCTCCAACAGCCTTCTGGGGTGCAAGAGTATCTCCTTCTAAAGGGATCCAACCTCAGCCTGGGCTGCAGGACAAGGTGAGCACAGCCCTGGGGTATCCGTGCAGAACAGCATCTGCCAAAATAACCCTGAAGAGCCAACGCAAACGATCATCCAGGTAACGAACTGCAGCTGCCGGCATGAGGCAAGGGCACTGTGGATTACCTGGATGAGGTACTGCTCCTTGATGAACGCTCGGTCAAAGGCCACGTTGTGTCCCACCACCACTCTCTCTGGCCAGTCCTGCTTGCTGGCACAGCTGGCACCTGCTGGGCTCTCCAGGGGAATGAGGTCAGCCAGGGTGAGGTGGCTGGACCAGGAGTACCGCTGCTCCAGCAGCCGCTTGCTGCACCACGAGTACCTGTGGAGGACACGTGGCACCCACAGCCGTAAGAAATAAAGCAGGAGCTCCCAGGACCAAAAGCACCCGCTGGGCTGTGGGGTGTTGAGCAGGATCCCACCCATGGGAGGGAGGTGCCCAACCCCAAGGAGCACTGAGCTCACTAACCACAACAACCCAGAGCCACGCTTTGGGCCTTCACTGTGCTTTCCCCACAATCCAGCCATGGTTTGCAGGAAGAGGCTCCTCTTGGGAGCATCCCCATCCTTCCCAAAGCTGTCCACCCCGCCACCATGACCCCAGTATCACTGCTGGCACCGCATCTCACCAGGCGTGTGG